CAGCCTTGGCGGAGACCAGTGCGAACGTTGAATGGTTTCGACTTAACTCCATTAACTCTGACGCAGCACCTGCTATCAGAATACAGTGATTGGGTGGCCCTTAGCAGCTGGCCTTCAATCCAGTATGCACGAAGGCATGTCCACAGACTGTTGCGTGGGATCCTGCCATAGCTTTTTCCTACGTCAACAAAGCACATGTTCACCGGACGAGCGTACTCCCACGATTGCTCAACAATCTGGTGCATGGTAAATATGTGGTCAGAGGTGCTTCGACAGGGCGGGAAGCCACACTTAATTGATATCTTTGAAGCCTATTTTGCTGTGTAGTACAGTTCTTGAGCATCGTACACCTACAGTAGTGAAATGAACCTTTCACGTCAAAAATATTCTCACTAGTGGTTTATTTAATAACCTTTTCATGTCGTAATCCCTCATTTTGAGGTACCTTACAATTGTGTTTATGTCGATTCCATTTTCAGCATAACCAATTTGATGATCCATGGTTCAGAATACCAAACACAACAAGTATCAAAGCTGCTTCTGTCTACGCGTTTCGCTACTACGGCGCTAGGGTAGAACGGCAGAACTATGACGCTAATTGTGTGACGACGAAATGCGTAGACAGTAGGAACATTAACACCTGCCTTCTGCCTTCACTGGTGCATTGAATCACGGATTGTCAAATTCGTTGCACTTCAACAATGCGCCAGGAATCGAAAACAACCATGAATTAAAGTTTTCATTAGTGATGCGCTATGCCAAACATCAGAAACATAAAAATTTTTCTTCATAGTTGAAGTATCCCTGTATCTTTATCAAAATATGCACTGGTAACACCTGTACTTGCGTTTTGGAAAGAACCGTTACCCCTATAATTAAGAGAACAAGAATACTTGTCTCAATAAACTTAATTTCGATGAAAGGGTCATCGTATGCAATCCCAACGTACTACCTCGAATGATTTTCAAAACTTCACTTGCAACATCAATATCAAGTTACCGACAACGCTGAAATTGTCTTCAAGGATGTCACGATGAACATCGAACCACGTTACGGCAAGGCCGTAATTCTTCGTTTTACCATAGAGGTAATTGAAAAGGTAAACGGCTAAGCCGAACAGCATCACCATCTCTAGGCTGAAGTTGCTCCAGTTATTTCGAAGATGAGATGGAACCTGAAGACAAGCGTCAATCAAAAAAGTCTTACATACGCCACACGGACTGACGTCTCAAACGCAACAGTATTGTAAATATTAACATTATTAACTTCGAAGATAAAACAGTTTTAACAAGAAAAACCTAAGAATGACTTAGGTTTCGATTTTTATTTCAGGCCTTCTTCATGACACGGAGGTCAGGCAGTGGCATTTGTGACCATCGTTTATAATCATTTAAAATGAATTGGACAATCTACGATAAAACGTAGTCGCATTCTATAAATGGATGCATCGTCTTTGAAGAAGGCCACTATTCACATACGTTCAAACGTAGGAAATCAGCTTTTCCTTCCGCATGTCCGCATATCACGCCTAATGAAAACTGTACTTCAACTCAAGAAAATTTTACTAGAAAAAAACAAATGAAAAAACTTTTGTAACTATCTGAGTGTCGGTTTATCTAACAATTCTACAACTGGCTCCATTTGCAACATCCTTCTTCTCATGCAGCTTAGGTGTAGCGCTGAATTTTCCCAAACGCTACAAGCCAAAAGTACATTATTTAAAAGGCAATTCTACCACTACTTATCAAGTATCGCACATGGCTTCCTAGTACTTTCTTTAACAAAGTCCTACTCGTTTATCTGCGTCTAAGGAGAAGAGTGCAGTGTCCCGATTTGGGCTTGGACTCACGATCTTTTAACGTGAGTGTAACACTCTACCGACTGAGCAACTTCTACTCATAAAGATAAATTCTTGAAACTTTGAGTTAAAGATGCACTTGACTTATACTTATATCGTCACACGAATACCCAACAACAAATACACACTCACGTCCGTGATCTTGAGAGGATGAACCTCGAGAGGATCATCGCTCGCGCCTGTACCAGGACGGCCATCATGAAAGTTTTCGAACTCTTCTTTGTTTTTCAGATGTGAGAAATCATCGTCGATTTCATCCTAAAAGCATCAGGTATTACTTAGTTATTGGTTATTGCATGTTGAGGCATTCTCACTTGAACCACGCCGTATTCGTCATCGTCGTCGTCATTCAAGAAGTCTCCAGTAGCGGCGCCAGGCGGCGTTGAGGCATCCACCGTCGATTGCTCGGACGGTGTCGGTTTCGGTACTCCTTCATTGGTTGCTTCCTCATTTTGTTTTGTATTCGAGGAGCGTTCCTCCTCAGGATTCAGCTTGTTGGCATTGTCTTCGTCGAATTCTTCAAATTCGGCAAATTCGGTGTCTTCGAATTCTCCGGCCTGTATTTCATTCAACGACGCATGCACCAGATGGGACAAAAACGTTAAAAAACAAAAAAGACGCAGGATACCTAAAGAAAATCATTTAACTGATTACTACTTCATGACTGTTAACTGCTCTGTGTGTGTGATGCGTCACACTGAGCCATTTGCATCAGTAGAACGTCTCTGGTTCGTGATGTTCGCAATTTTACTACGCTTTTGTTATAATGCATCGATTAATGACTGCTTCACACATAAGCAATACGTTGCAACATAACAGATAAGATTAAGTAACTGTTATAATATCGGGAAGTTCTTCAAGAAAAAGAAGAGGTAGTCAGGATCAGAGGCATTTTTCACGAAATATCTGAACTTCAGCTATTAGCAGCAAGCTGCCAACGTTAAACTACGTTTGTCATCTCAAAATCCTAAATTTGGCTTCGTCTGTTTGAGCTTGTCAAAACTGCCCCTACCATTGTACCTTGACAACTAATCAAAACTTCAAAGTCGAAACGTCGGAAGTATCATAAGTAAAATCAATACACTGAGTAACCATTAAAACTACAGATCTCCCGCATACAAAAGCAGTGTGCAATTTACAGAACTTCATTTTTGCGTTAGTAGTCATACTGAAAAACAGCATAAAATACGGTGTATTAATATAACGCAATAAACACGGTCCTGCAATAATTTCTAAACAAACTACTGGGGTATATAAACAAACTACTGTAATGCAATTACACACGAGGTATCACTTAAAAATGGTAATTTCCACCGAAATACGCTTAAAGAAAATACCGAACGATACTTCATGCACTTTGTACTGATTGCACAGTAAGACCAGTTTTAAATTACTAAAACATTTGCTTTAATATCACACAACTGACGCTAGACATTCTGTTTCCGCTGACTAATAATTTAGCGTTATTCAAATTCGGTGCTTCTAAAGACAGATGGAAAATAAATTCACATTAAATCAGTCCCAATGGATTGAAAATATTCGGCTAAGTAAAAAGTCGCCCAAATTCAACGATTCTACGTATGGGGAAGGACAAAAATCAACGACTTTAAAATCCAGAAGTCGACGTTTCAGAAAACAACATTACTCATCGACGGAGAAGAATCTAACCAGAGAATTAGGAAAAGTAATATTCTCCAAGGAAATGAATTTTAGAACAAGTTTATTAATTTACTTTTAAATGATAGTACATTTTCGCTGTTGTGTGATTACTTTCCAACAGCAATCTGTGATTCATTTCGCTGTATTCCCAGCTTTTCAATAAATTGTTGCTTCTGCTGCCATCGTAAGCTGAGGTATCACGGTCAAAGACTGGGTATTCAAATTAATCATGTCTGAAGCTTGGGATATTCAGAAAGACGTACTTAATGTCGGTTGCTGCAGCAAAAGTCATATTACTCGTCGTAACCATGGCCATTTTTAGTAGATGCTCTTACGCACAATGTTCGCCTCCGACCGGTCTGTGGCAATTTTTTGCTTCACAGAGGAGAATGGTTTTCGATATTTTTCCATCTCTCTCAGGATGATTTTGTTAAACCACGACAAACGACAGACCTGATTTCTTCAGAGAGCATTCTCAGGCCGGTCATCTCGAAGAGCTATTCATTTTCAATATATTTACTACAAGGCATTGGCTGCTGCACCGCAGAAGAAGCAGTGAGAAAAGAAGGCAAGACAATGCAAATAGCTTATGAAATAACCTTTATATGGGTTATAAACGTCCAACCTGGCGATCTGATAAACACAGTATCATTTAAAATGGCCACTTATCATCTGCCTTTGCTTGTCATCCAGCAGACATTATTAGATTAAACATAACGGCCATACCGTGGTGATTGACGATTACATAAATTAACAGCCTTACATTGTTTTATAAAACGACTGTTTCGCTGTATCATCAGCATAGCAAGCAAACTACAAATAATTTTACACAACTGTATTATATGACGAATGACTGATTACGTATAGTAATTAATTTCTGACTGCAGAGCATTTCAGACCAACTACTCACAAAAAGCGGAAATTTCACCATTGCATAATTACACGTAGAATCTTGGTTGCAAAAGTCATTACAGCTTGCAAGGTTACAGAAACCGCATTACAACAATTATGTTTTCATGGGTTTATACTAAATCTGAAATACGAAGAAGGAACGAATTTTCGATCAATAATTGCTAATATGCATCATATAGAAGAAGAGTAGATTAGATCGTAACCACCAAAATCAACTGAGAGATTACAGAATTCAACATAAAGCTGCATAATTTTATAGGAAGAAGATTAATTAAACATAGTGCAATACCTCTTTCAAGCCTTGAACTTGTACTTGTTCGTAACATAGAA